GTTTAGTTTCTCAAATTTTATATATTTATCTGACAGATTAATGATTCATTTGGCATTAGCAGTACGTTGCTAATTTCTGTCTTTTTCTATCATGAAAAGAAACAAATTTGTCATCACTTGATTTACTTCAAGTAAATACAAGATTTTACAGCATTCTTATAAAATTAAATAAGACTACAGAAAAGAAAATTCTCTGTGTTGAAACTGTTATTACTTTTTGTGAAGAGAATTATGGGTTTTATTGGTAATTGTATAACTATTTGCGTTTATATACTGAGCAGTTCTTAAAATAAACTAAAGTTTAGTAACATTTTTCAAAAGCTTATGCGGCAAGTAAGCACAATACACTAGAAGTGGCTAAAAGTTCACACAGCGAAACATGAACTAGAGAATTCACTAGCTGATAACACTCGATTCCTAAGCACAGAATATCACTTCGAGTAATTTATAGAGATTGTTCCTAACCTAATACATGGTCCTGGATCTTGACGAACTGAAATGATGAACTGGGGTTGAAAGACTGTTTCCCAGTTAGATGCCAATTAAATATGATCTCAAATTGGATAAATCTCCCCAAAATATTTGTTTGTATGATTGTATGTTAGTTTTGATCGATATACGCTTATCATATCCCATCAGTCGCTAGTTACTTTCAAGCACATTTAAATAAAGTTAACGTAATTTATCGATAAATGAGGTTGAAAATTCAAAAGAATGTAATACGTCAATAATGTATCATCGTTTCGGATATACTTGTGCCAGTTGAAAACTTGTAGTTTAGAGTTAGATCTGAACATATTTGGTAAATAATGAAAATTGTCTATGAGACGAATTATATACTCAATATAACAGTTATACATTAGTATGCAATCATACTTCATTTTTTTCCATTAAACCTTATCTACTATGATTTATAAAGATTAATATATCAGTCATTTTGTTAAAAAGAAGGATAAATTCAGTATTGCAAAATGAAATTGTTCGTAATTATTCTTTATATTGCAAACAAAATGTAGTTGTTACTTCAATAAAGAGTCAAACTTTGATATCCTGATTGCTTTCTACAGATTTACAAAAGTATTAATGCAACATACACACGTATTTTCTGTTTTTAATAACAGAAAGCAGAATATTACTCCAGCTATGATGTAAATTAAATGGGAAAGAATTTATTGGATGTCTCATGCTCATGTGTAATACGAAGTAAAACGTTTGGTTATTGAATAGAAATCGATAAGAATTAAATGACTAGAGTATTGAAAAAGAACATATTCAATTTGTTATTGATCTTATTATTGAGTGTATTACATTTCCATATTAGACTAGTTAATTAGCTAATATTTTCTTGTATAAACATTTACAAGCATAGATAATATCTAGTTAATTTTAAGTGATCATATTTTTCTGATAAATACTTTTCTAGGTTTCAATGGAATTTTCTAGTTTTTCCCACTTATGAGATGAATTCAAATACAGTTTATATTGTCATTTTTTATTCATTAAGTGAAAATTATTGCATTTTAGTTTACCAAAAAACTGAATTTAATCTATTTCCTCTTCTCAGATGATGGTTATAATAGTTTAAATTAAGAGTCAATAATCAGGCAGAAGTAGTCGACAATAGTCTCTCCATTTTTATATAAAGTACTTACAGCCAGCATACACTCAACTTTTTCTCAATGCAATTTATTTTAGAATTGAATATTTTACAACTGTCTTATCTAAACAGTTGATGCGTTTAATGAAAACACTGAAGATAATTCAATCTTTGCATTCAGTGAATGATTTTCCATCATCAGTAAGGTTTTTTTGTGCGACTAGTTAAATAAAAGTAATTTCCTTTAAAAAAAACTAATTTTGTTAGTACGTAAAATTTTTTCCACTGGTACTTAAGTCTGAGTCATACAATTTGATTATGATCTTGAATTAGACGCCAAACTTCCAGTTGTGAGGGTTCATGTTAGTTTCGAATTACAATATCCAGTTAATGCAAGAAATATGTCATATATTTGGTTCGTACTCTGAGACCATTTGTTTTGACAAATTTAAAGATATATCTCATCCTAATATTTTATCTTGTGTAGTATCAGAATATCTATAATGTTTAGTGCAGCCACGAATTTAATGTTACTGTGGTTTTATTCAGCGTAATACGTTCGTACAGTGTTAACAACTATCTCTACCATTATTAGATTTGAACTGACAGTAGCGTCTCTGTGCTAATGTGGTATGGCAACCTGAACTTATGTATGTACGTACGACGTTCTATGTTGTAACTTAATGACTGACTATTGTTAACAAACTATACGCGTATTTGATTGGAGTAGTGGTATATAATAACCTAGTTAGTAGGGACCAAGGCGAAACCCGACCTCAATCCATGGAGACAATAGCTGTTGATCTGAAACATACTTAAAAATGGATAATATCTAGTTGGATTCCGCGCGTTGGTTATAATAGATGATTGGAAAGGATGGATAATATACCAGAAAATCTGTTTCACCCTTGCGAATTTATCCAGGTTCTGTTTTTCTATTGATATCTTTTATTCCAAAAGTTCATTCCTTTAATTTCCATCCAATTATCAATACCTAATATTTCGACTCTTAGTATTTTCCTGTCAACTTCATCTATCTTTGTAAAAGTGGTGCGGTAATCGAATTCGTCTACATCAGCAAGTATACGATTTCAGGACGATCAACATAGAAAGCTGTTTTTTTAAAGGAAATTTCATGAAATCAATCAACACTAACAAATAAAATACTTTCTTTGGTGTTTATAAGTTTTATATTCAGTCAAAATATTGCATCTGAAGATTCATATAAATAGTAATAGAAAAAAATAGACAAAATGATTCAAGTAATTTGAACACAGTAAAATTGACTCTGTTTGCTTGAACTATAAAAAAAATATTCAATATAAACATTAAGATTTACCTATAGATCATGAAATGGTCAAGACAATATGTTTAAAAGTTATATTTAACAACTTTACTAGCACAATGATTTTTGAGCAGTTTATCAAATCAATATTCCACATAACTTTATCTAACATTCTTGCAATTAACTAGAGTACTATGATAGAAATAGTTTGGTATATTGTATATTTCAGCAATTGAAATGATAATTTACCACAAATTATTATTATTTATTTATTGTTGTTTTTTCGAATGATACTCAGTGATATTTGAAGTGGTTTCGAGATTTTTTTTTATGAGATGAGTATACAGATTACTGAATTTTTAACAAATAATATGTTTATTATTTAGACCACCCCATCTGTGATAATCTACTATCAACATTAAACAATCATTTTTCAGTAGAAATTTGTGTCAAGAATTGTTTGTTTGATGGGATTTGAACATGCATTCATTCATTCATATATATTTGTTTGATGGACGCTATATTTCCAATAACAATGACTATGAAAATCTAAAAATATTTAGTGTTCTCTATCATAATGATTGAATTCTTTTTTTTTTTGGCGACTTCCTATTCATTAGAACTATTTTACAGAAAAGAAAGGAAATAGCCTTCTCGTTTTTTTCCCTTTAATTTCATGTCCTTGTTATATCCTGAACAATGGAATGAATGGATACTAACAATGAAACCAGAGAAAATAGTTAAAGAAATGTGTGTTGCATTAAAATGACCTCAAATTAGTTTGGTATAAATTATTATAAAAATTATTTGTCAGAATACATACAATACTTTTATTTATTATTATTAACAAATTATTATCAGGTAATTAGGTTAGTTGATCTAATATCATTGAAATTAAGGTGTTCTATCACCACCTACTTGTAACTTCTTGTAGATTGAGAAAAAAAAATCTATGTAATAGGAAATTTTACTGATACATTTTTGTATGAACCTAAAACTGAAGAATTAATCTCAGTGTATGTGTTGATAACTTGTTTAGGTTATTGTGACTATAGGTAAACTAATAAATATGGGTGTATTAGGAAATGTTTAAAATTTAAAAAAAAAAAACTCATAAAACTATTTTAAAAATTTAGGCTAAACTGCAATTTACAATTAGACATAAGTTCTTTGCTTTGCTTATAAGCTGTTGCTCAATAAAAACTAAATAAGAACACGTAGTATTACGTCATCATTGACAAATGCCAAAAGTCATATTCAGACGACAGTCAGTGAGACTTTTTTTTATTTTGCCTACATAAGCTTGACACCAAATTTATACAGACAATCAACAGTACTTTTTATAAGGTTAATTAAGTGTAACTGAGACTTTAAAAGGTATAATTTTTCATTGTTATTCCATGCTATTGTTCCTAGGTAATTCACTATTCTGAACAGATCATTTTTCTGTAGAAAGTGTTCTGATTTTATGTGAAAAGATATACAGAGCTTTATCTTTGAATAAAGTAGTAAGTAGTAATTACTTTAATGAAATTCTATGATCAAATGTTCAGGTATATAGTATCAGTGGATTGGAAAATGTCTGAAAAGCTAAGTGTGTAATAACTCACTGCATTGATTCAAACCATGGATAGTGTTTGTAAAATATTTATGCCTCCAATCAAAACAAATAAAATCTGATGATGAATAGGGAAAATAATTTGTTTATAAGGCAGCATATAGTACTCACTATTTGAGTTCATTGTCCTTTGTTAACCAAACTATATTAAACAGTTTATGTTGTATAATTAATAACTCAAAAAAATAATATCCAGTTACTCTGAATCTGAATTGAACAATATTTGAAAATGTACAGAGACTTTGTTTTCACATTTGTATCCAATTTTATATCAGATTAAACAAGGAATTTTGGTATAATGAAATCATCAAGTTTATGTTGAACGAATGAAATAAGCCTAATGGTAAATTAACAGATTTCCATGAAGGCTTATTAGTTCAGATGAAATGAATTTAGAAATTTAAATAATATCTGAGTTTCATAACAGAAGACCAACTTAATTACATAAGAATTTTTAATTAAAACTTGTAAATAAAAGCTAAACGTAACTGTCGACTTACCGAAAGTGTTTATTGACTAAGTGCAAAATGATTTCCGTTATTATTGTCGGAATGGTGCATAGTTTAATATAAATCCATGAGTTATTCTTATTATAGACCAAATGATTAGTGCTATAATGAAGTATGCTAATAAATTTATCAAGTTTATTATCTAACAAACATCCCAAAATCTGAAAACTATTCGCACAATGTGTGAACTAAGCAAATGAAACCACCATGTGAATGACAAATTAATGATAACGATGTAATTGGTTCAAAGTTAGAGAAGTTATTATTGGTTGAAAAATCAACCAATCATACTTTAGAATGATTTGCTCTATTTGTTTGATTAGTTAAGTAAAATAAATGAGGTTCGTTTGCCTATCTGTAGTTAACTCATTAAAGCAAAAAAAAATTGGTCGAGTAGAGCAAATTGGAAAAATGCAAAAACAATAATAAAAATAATTTCAGTTATAAACAAAGTAAATTTATTTTCTGGCCGAGTTTTGGAGATTTGTGTTTTTTCACATTTGAAATCGTCAATCAAAGACAAATCGGTGAGGTCGTGCAAAATCCCTAGATCAGTCAGAGTTAGACATTAACGCCCTTGGATGCCGGCCCAGTGGTCCGATGGTTAGGCGTTCGCGCACAAAACCGAAGGTCCCGGGTTCGAATCCTGCGAGGTGCAGGAGTCGTGGATGCGCACTGCTGATGAGTCCCATACCAGGACGAAACGGCCGTCCAGTGCTTCCAGATTTCTAATGGTGGTCTAACACTGATTGATTGATGACTTCAAAAGTAAATTTAATCTTTACTTTCATCTCAGTAACTGAATTACCTGTATATACATGAAATAAATTTATAAATTCTACAGTTACTAGCTTATTCAGAAATCTCAGAGTTCATGTGACTGAAGTACTCTTCTAATGCCTCCTAAATGTGACATAAATTTTTAATTACGTCCTTTGTTTCAAACGTTATTGATGATTAAATAAGAAGGAATTTACATCGTAGCACTTCCAACTAGTTTTCCACTAAAATTATATGGTCTAGAAGAATGTAGAAGACACTATAGTACATTAGTTGTGATAATCCTTTTCTTGAGAATAAAACTTTGATAGTTGAACTTCTAGAATCTTTACCCACTGGAAAACGTAAATGAACCCTATGATTCAAGAACCTTCATGCTACCACTGTCGTTATTTAGTCGTTCATACATATAATCCCCTGAATGACCGATAGAAAGTTTCTTTTCAAGTGATATATGAATATACTTAATGAAAAGACTAATGATCGTATTAGTATAGGAGATTTTAAAAAATTGTGGGACTTTTGCAGTTTTAGACCCCAAACTTGTTTTATTTAAACAATCATTGAAAATCTGGAGGGAGTGAACTGAAGGTTAGGTGTTCACATGTGAAACCAAAAGTCTTGGCTTCAATTTCCAGTTACAGAGTCGTGCATGAGTACATTTGAAGAATTCTATACTAATAATTTTGTCCAGATCAACGTATAAAACTTCGTATCTAGACCATTCGACCCATAGAGCTCAAAATAACATAAAGAAAGTAGTTGTATTTTGATGACCAAGAATTTTACCATCAAGGTATGACAAATTTTTGATCGGTCAAACAGCATTTGCATAGTCTTAAGAAATCATTCACACTAGATTATTCTAATTATTGAAAACATTTAGGTTAACCTGGATATCATGAAATAAACTTAGTGTAGAATGTTAGGATAACAAAATATTATGTCATTCTAACTGTTCAGATAATTAATCTTTTGTATGCAATACATTTTAATGTTTACAAAGACATTTCAGATACCGAACATTATCAAATAAACTGGTATTTTTAGTTTAAAAGTTTTAATTTTACATTCAAAAGGACTTTTGGATCGTAGTTTTTTTTTTTAATTTTAAAACTGTTTAAAAAATTAGTAATCGTTGTTTGGATCATTTATTAAGAAAACTAGAATTCATTCATGTTCACGTTTTCTGTACTTCAGCAAAGTATGCGCATTTTAAACATAATGTATTAGTATATATACATATATATATATATATATATATATATATATATATATATATATATATATGTATGTAGACACCGGTTAATATATAACGTTAAGAAGTATTACTAAAATTTGATACAACCTAATAAGTAAATAATTATAAGAATACAACAACATTTGAATTGAATTACCTAATATTGTTCAATATATCAACAGATAAATAATAATAAACAAAGATTTCGAAACTGATTATTATACATTTAACTATACATTATGAAAAAAAATCATCCGATAGTCTAAAAACTTTCCAACTGTTAAAATGAATTTGGATGAATGAAAAATATACTAACTTTACAAAGAAATGTTGATTATTTTAATTACATCAACATAAAACTCTCCATAATTGTACATTAAAGAATTATGGAGATTATTGAATTTCATTGAAATTCATAATTTATTAATTTCCAACAAAGAAAAAACAAATATTATCAGTGTGATTGACTGATATTATTACTACAATTCTCCTAAATGTCTCTTACTATTTATTGTATTGTTTATATTTCAACGCATTTAGTTTGTAATGTAATGTAATTGGTTAAGTATAAAATAACAAAACGCTTACTTTATTTGAGAATTGAAAGTGTGAACACAGTACACACATAATTACATCATTTAATTACTTTCTTGTTATACGATTCTCTGCCTCGACCTGCAATAACATCTCAACTGTTGAATTTTACTCATGAATAAAATTTTTTAGTTTCACTTTTGTTTCTAATAAATACGAAAATATGCTATATGTTTATGACGTCCAAAAAATCGAAATGAAGCATGCATCTGTCAATTTTTTTAAAGATAATCGATGCTATTCTGGTTCTTTGCTTAGACTTTATTTGTTGTATACGTTGATTCCACCAATACTGATGTTTGACATGGTAAATGCTTAAACTAAGGATTGTTCATAATAATGCTATATCTAAACACTAGACAAATAGTGATAATAATAATAATTATTATTATTTTTATGACGGTAATTTAAACTGTCTGTATAGAATTCTTCGTAATAATGAAGTGACTGTCAATTTATGTCAAAAGTATAAACATTTATTTATAAGTTATGTCGTTAAGATGATTGCGTCAAAACATTATATATATATATATATATATATGTTTGTTTATGCTTGTGCATGTGTATACATTCAAATGTTCTACTACAAATAAGTCTGTATAATAAAACAATTACCGACTAGTTTGTACATAAAAAAGAGTAATATAAAAAAAGACAAACAGACAAGTACATACAAGATAGTTTGAACATCTTTGTTAGTTTTATATCTGTTTTACACACATTATTAAAAAAATTCAAGTAAAAATCTCACATTCTACATTGAAAATCACATTTTATACACATATTGAATATTCTCTTTTAAATCGTAGAAATTTTTTTATGAAATAATAAATATTTAAAGGAGAAGACAAAACAATAAGTGTTAGAAAAAAATGACATGAACATGTCAACGGTAATGGTTTGAAATAAGAAGAAATGTAAATATATGGTTTGTGAAAAAGGAAATGAATATGTGTTATAGATGTATAGTCATTGTTATAATTTAATTAAATAATTTATAAATCTATACAATCAGTATGATAAACTTTTCTTGTTAATAGCAAGAACTTAAACAAGGTGTAGAGTAACCACCATCTTTCCACATGAAACGGAACTCAAATACATTCTATGGACAGGACAGTGTAGGTGTTTTGTGAATATTTCACACATACTTTTTTTGACGAATTCATTTTGTACAAATATTAATGTCAAGTATGGTTTTGTTTCTTGCAAATTGGACTTACATAAAGAAAGAATTATAACTGTGTAAAAAAAAGACTAAACATGTCAATTTAAAGTGTATTCGTTTTCTTGAGTCTGAGAAATTTAAGTTTTCTGAACAACTTGATAATCAAAAAAAAACAAACAAACATACACTCTTATCTACAAGTTAAAACTAGAAACTTTGAAGTTTTAATACTCACTTATAAGCATTATATAATAAAATACTACAGTAAAGTGAGATGACTATTTCGAAGATTGAAGATAACTGATCAGATCATAATTAACTATAAGACAATTAATATTGGTACGTTGAATGTCTTGACTATGTATAAAATAGAAAGTTATTCAAATAGTCAAAGACATGAAAAGTTATGACCCGGCTCTAATGGAATAATTGGAATTTTAATGGATTAAATTTGAAAAGAAAGAACTAGCTTAGCAAGTGATGCTGTTGTATTCTATACATTAGAGAGGATATGTCAACCAGACAGTAAGAAGTTTTACTAATGCTACTACATTTAAAAGCACAAAAAGAGCCTAGAGAATCGGAATTTTATAGCTCTACGATTATCAAAGTATCATTCAAACAAGAAGAAAAGGATTACAGTGAATATCATCCATCATCATAAAGGCGAAGACGATAAAAATAATCTTATCAGAGGCCGCAGTTCATTACAGAGAAATGGTCATCTTGATGGGTTACCTAAACTCCAAAGTTTCGATGAACTATACTGTGTATAATTACATTATCAGGCGACATACATTGAGAAAGAGAAGAGAAAATGATAAAGAACGGGTAGATCCAAGAACATGGTCGCAAGTAGATACATAAAACCATCAATAAAGTTACATGAATTTATTAGAATTATACTACATAAAACTAGATGAATCGTATCTACATAAATAAAAATCCCGGTAGTCTGTTGAAGATCGAAGAACAAAAAAGGAACTGACAGAAGCTCAGATTAGCTTCTGATGGTTGCACAGGTAAGACTTAAGCAAGAAGAAAATTGAAAATGTGCACAATCAACACTACTGAAGTTTAATAAAGCCTTTCTTTGAGCTTTTTACCAACTCACCTAGTTCAAGAATGCGCTCAACAACAAGTATGAAGTCCTTCAAGATCTACTAGAAGAGAAGACCACTATGGAGAACAACTGGGAAGGGGATAAGGAAGCATTAACTTCAACAATCCATTATTCAGTATTCAGAAAACTCAAGAATGGAAAAGCAAATATATCATACAGCTTACAAGATGATGCACTGAATTCATAGAAAGAGGAAACTGTCACAATTTACCATGGTCTCCTCAGGAAGATGTGTAAGGAAGAACAACTACCAACAGACACTGAAGAGT